CTAACTGCGTTCCACAGACTCTGTTTCACTTCTTAGACTGCTTTCAACTTATTTTTTTAAACTGGTCTCATTGTATATATCAGCTGGCTTCTCGTGCTGTGTGCATGGTTATATTTTTATCCCGCATTAGACGCTTTTCAACTTAGCTCATCTTCTCCAACTCTACAAAGCTTAAATCCGCCCTGCTCTTGAATACTGCAGTCCCGTGTTCAACGAAGGCCCGTCCAGCTGATCGATGATCCTTACCTAAACTCTAATCTGCAGTCAATNTCGGCAGTACCCCTCACTGTAAATCTCGCCCGCCCATCCCGTATACAGACATCTAGTCGTCGGATACCAGATATCTGTCGTACTTCACTATTCAAATTTCCCTTTCCCCCCGAACTGCCAAGTTGTGAAACACCCACCACACACACAATTTGTCTTTCCCCCAACTTACAACTCCACACTCTTTTTTTATTACACACCTTGTGATGAACAGCAGACGGGGTAAACCCCATAGTCACGAGGATCTGTTGTTCAGTGATGGAAACCGGGAACCTTAGCCCCGGGACTTGGAGTGGTGAATCACATAAGGCCCTGATAGGTTAGGTGTGGTAGTAAACCGGACGACAGCACAGCTGCCTACCACCAAAGTTGGGGGGGGAGAGCTCGAACCTCGGACATACTTGGTTAACTGCATACCGTTTCAGTTACCCTACATCATTTCAGGCTTCTGGCAGAGGAAGCATCGGTCGGGGACAACTTTTTTCAAATCCTCAAGTAAATGATATCCATTTTCATCTACTTCTCTTTAATTTACGACTAGTAACACGACATCTTTTGTGTGACTGTACACCATATTAAATGACCCTGGTGCACTGAGCTGAAAATTCATCCATTGGGATGAAGAGAGCAATTTCTGACTTGAATTGAATGGCTGATTATTATTACTATTAGTTATAGCCTAGCAAAATGAATGTGGTTGAATCAGATAACTTGCTTTGATTAGGACGGACATCTGACCGAAATACCACACGGGAATACACGTGAAAAGCAGTGTGCAATAATCACTAACCTTCCTTTCTTCTCCAAATAGAGCCCGGAAAGCCGATGAACGCGCGAACTCTTCTTGAATTGTGTTGTCAGATGATTCAGACACTCCTAAACGGTATGGAAAAACAGATTCGAATCAATAACAACAACAGACATATCAACAATTGAGGGATATCACGGTCTAGTACACGCTATCCAAATGGCAAATGGCCGAAGGATAGAGTCTCCATGCGTATCTGGTTATTCGAACCAATATCCTATCATACGGTGCAGAATAGCTAACAAGCAGAATGACCAAAATTACCGAGTTAGGTGCGTTTAGTTGATGCCTGGGGTGCCTACTCCAAGCCTACATGGAAGACGTGATCAGGTGGAAGGTATTTAATTGCCGTCTATGGTTATTACACCAACAAAGGATCGATTATAATCGGTAATAAAACCAACGCGATAAATCTGATAACCTTAATAGAAGTTAGTTGGCACGGTAGTACCCCGACTGTACTCAATATGAGTGGGTTAGATTTCGAATCTCACATGGGCCAGTGGATGTCACAGACCGTTGGGCCTGGAGTATGTAGACGACACTGTACTGGTCAATGATGATCCAGATAAGTTGCAAGCTCTTCTGGATAGCTTGAGTATTAATGAAGCTATATTCAGTATGCATTTGCCACCAGACTGGGTCGGTCCATCTCCCAACCTCACTCTGACTGGGGAAGTAATAGACTAAGAGGACAAGTTTTATTATCCGGGCAGCTATATCTCACTCGTTGGACGCATCACAGATTAAGTGTCAGTTCGCAAACAGAAGGATCGGTTGGCATTTGCCAAATTCAGACATCTGTGTCACCGTCGCGAAGTCCGGCTATTCGTGAAGGGTCGAGTGTGTGCTGTCAGTCTGGCCGCTTGTCCCATTTGGCGCAGAAATCGGACCATTACGAAAACAAGATAAAGATAGAATGCCGATGTTCGAACACTGCTGCCTATGCAGCATTACACGAATACAATGAATGGGGCAACCGGACGAGTAATGCCAAGGCTAAGAGCAGAGTTTAGGGAACCGCAGTTGACCATTAGAGCCAGTGGTCGATTTCCATAGATTACGTTGGTTGAAGCATGAATTAAGCATGTCGCCAAATCGGTTGCCACGGCGCATGATGTTTACCAAGGCAGGCAGTGGTTGGAATAGAGTCAAGAGTGGTCAAACTAAGACCTGGCATGAGGGTATGAAAACCCTGACCACGAGACTCAGTCACGTAGATCGCGCTAGGCTCGCTGGATGGGGACCTCAGGATCATTGGAGTCAATGGGTAGACATCGAGTGATATGGCTGAATGTCGTAAATGGTGTTCGTGCATCTTCTCAATTTCTTTGCAACCTTAGTCTACTGAAATTCTCCACTTTCCTTACTACTCTACTAACCGACTTTCTGTATTTGACCACCGATGTCTGCGAAACATTGCTCATGTCTGGTGGGGACATTGGGTGAGTAATGACCAGGTCCGTCGTCGTGTGCTGGGTGCGGATAGTCGTGCTCTGAAAGAAGTAATCGCTCTACACCGCCTCCGATAGCTTGGTCACGTATTGCATATGCCTGCCAATCGACTACCTTTCTGTGCTCTCTTCGTACGTGCTGAGCAAGGCTGGTGTAGTTCAGTTTCAGTTTTTACAACCATTAATCATGCACTTTCGT